TGGGGGATGTGTTTGGACTACAAAGGGTCATGTATTAATCGTCCTTCCTTTAATAATCGGTTTAGAACCGAAAGATAACTTTAAATGCAAATACCTAAGCACCGGAGTGTGTGCAACTGGAATACCAATTTTTTATTACAATTTGTTTATACATAAAAATAAAAAATAAAATTACAAAAAAACTTACATTCATCAATTTCCATCATAGACGTCTCAATAGTTGTTGTGTTAATAGCAAGTGGAGGTGGCATATTAACACATGGCATTGCTGAGGATAGTAGCTGTTTAATGTTCTTCACAGCCGGTTTAGAAAACATTTCCTCCTCAAAATGTCTCGCACAGATAACCGAGCTGTTCTTTGTGGTTATGCCATAGATGTCAAGCAACATTGGTTTCCATGCATTCCTTACAGCATACACAGAAATCGTCGTGCAGTACACCGTTGATGCGTTTACACATCCTGTCACACAACATCTTCTTGGCGACGGCATATCTAAAATTAATAAAATTAATCGAACAAATCACTCATATCTCTGTATTTATTTATCTCAATTTGTTCAAAATTCATAAATTACTGCAAAACCTGAAACAAACTATGTACGTACCATGGTACAATAACACAAGGTAGGGCAGCTTGAGTTGAATAACAAAAAACAACTATGTAAAATAAATATGTTCCTTAGAACCACATTTATGTCAGCACCAACGACATACATTCCTTTTTCGCTACATATCCATCCTTATTCCTTTTCCCCTTCCTTAAAGACAAACTAATTTCTCATATAAAAATCTTTAAACCTACTTAATTATATAATATTAATTTTTTATGAAATTTGTTTTTCCTTTCAGATTCAAATGCAAATATGACTTTACGATATTTAATAGGTTCGTTCGTTTACTTTCCCAGTAATATTTAATATTAGAGTAAATAAATAACTCAAAAAGTAAACGAACAACAAAATAAAAAATACAATTTTGGCGCAAATAAAAAACAGCATTTTTATAGAAAAATATAAAGTTTCCCACAAACATTTATAAGGGGTTGTTGTTATTCCTTTCAATTGATATTGGGGTGGACATAACCGATGGTGTTCCAGACATAGGGATGCACACTTTTTTGTTTGGATTTGGAACCTAAAAAAAGTTAACTTGTATTACCTTTTTTTAAAATACTTGCATTTTCTTCATCCATTTTGGTATTTAATGATACAAAATCAAAATAAAATTCACAAAACAATCAATTTTCTTGAGAAAAAATTTTGTTTGTTTACAAAACATAACAAAACAGCTGATTATATATCAGCTGATGGTACAAGAAAATTCTTACTGAGTAAATTTTCCTTGTAAGAATTTGCAAATACTCAGTAACACAACTGTCAAATCTGCTCTCTCAATTCACTCTCTTTTACTGGAATTTTGGGTAAACGAACAACATTTTGTAATAATTTGTACAAATTCGTACAAATTATTGAGTAAACGAACGAACCTAATATTAAGAAATAACTCTAAAATAAAAAATAAATTTAATGTATTATAAAGCATTGCCTTTCTTATTCAACATATCGGAAAATAATGAAGATCTTTCTGGGTCTAACCTTAAATCTGTTATGTTCGTCGTAACGTGCGTAATTCTCTTACGCACGCTTTTCCATACCACTGTCCGACAACCCTGGCCTGTCAACGAACAAGTTCCACAATCAGCTGTTTTTTTACCACCACTTGGTAGGTGGAACATCAATTAAGACAGAAATAATTCGTATACTCCGGAGTATACTCTGCCTAACTGAAACGCGTTGGCTGTGTCTTTTTTTATGTCTCATTGCATCTATACTAACTTGTCTGTCTGATTTCTTTCCAAAGTCTAGTAGGAATTCTATGACTGTTACTTCTGGCGAACGGTTAAAAACATCAATTTTCAATTTTCCTATTATTATTCAAAACAATACACACACATACACAAAATATGTATTTTGAGAATAATCAGTTGATACAGTTGATAGCTGCGCCCTACCTTGTAATAATTATTTTTGGAACGTAGATAATATAGCCTGATATTCCTGATATCTCCTTATTCAGAATGAATGGGAGAAGCATGCGAGATACTAGATACTAATTCGATGAAAAAACGTGTTGCCTCATTGTAATTTAATTTTGTAATATTTTTCAATATTTTATTATTATTAAATTTTTTTAAATGTTTTATTGGTATTTCAGTTTATAATAATTTTATTGTTATTTAATAGTAATATGTAAAACCGCTGTAAAACTGCTTTGTAATTAAAATAAAATAAATTAAGTATAAAACGGCGTGAAACAGCAGCTGTTTGTGATGCAATTTGATGCAACAACTACACCAACTACACCAGATTACAAACAAGAACATTTTTATTATGGCAAAAACCGCATTGCAAGATGTCAAAGACACAACGAATAATGCGATGGAATTGAATTAAATCCAATTATTTAACTATGTAATTGTGTGCCTTTCCATACTTTATCTGACCAATTATTTTATGATATGCTCCTCCTCCTTCAAATCATGTACAAAGAAAAGAAAATTTTTTTCGCAGCTTTAATATTGTTCTTTTTGTTCTTTCATATTTTTTATTTCAGTTTTTCACTTGTTAAGCGAAGCGGCTCATCTGGCAAATTTAGCTATGTGATTTGATTTTTCCATAATTTGGAGAGACAGAGCCTTGCACAAAATTTCTTTATTTTGCAAACTCGGCTTAATCTTTTTTATACATTCCTTGGTAATTGTTTTGTAGTTTTTGAGAGTTAAAAATAGCATGCAATTTATAACATTCTTATTCTAAATCGTCATAGAATAAGTATTGTTTAGAGATTTTTCATAAAAATATTTATTACGTATGCTACGTATGCTGCTTTTGTAGTCAGCTCCATTTGAACAAATGTCGTCACATTCATCCAATTTCAAATCAGCTCAAAGGGCCAAGAGCGATTCCAACAACAACAAAAAATACACTCCAAGAGCTTAAAACTAAACAATGTATTAGCTAATAATATATTTCTTATTTTTCTTTTCCTCAAAGGGGATTTTTCGATTAGGTAAAATGTATTTATTTATTTTTAAATTTTGCTCCGACTTTAGGAACCATACTCATGCCATCCATATCATATGCCGACTATAGCAGTTTGTTCAGTTTGTTCCTAAGTGCGGCATCCATAAAAATAATATTATATAATAATAATAAAATAATAAATTCTAAAGTGTTCCCGCATGTTCGAATCGGCACTGTCCCAGTGGTGTAGAACCACATTGTCTTAGATTGACTAGATGATGATGGGATGGATGGATTTTGTGTTATAGACAACGATGCCGAGTACTCCGAGTACTGACTAGGAGCACTAGGAGCATACCCAACTTACCCATTTATACCATTTATACATATTTATCATATTTATACATATATATACATAATCTACATAACATATTCTACATATTCTATACATATCATATTCATCATATTCATATTCTTATTGGATGTCGAGCTCCTAAACCCACGGCAAAGCCAACCCCACGCACGAACCGTCCAATTGGACATGCTGGACATGCGGTCTCCGTTACCCAACCAGTCGTGTAGGATGTATAGACTATAGATAGACTTAACGTTTTTGGGGTTACAGAGTGCGAGTGAAGCTCCCCAATTCATTCCCAGATTGTACAGGGCCTACGATCCTACGATCGATCGGTGTGTGTGTGTGTGGTGCTTCTGTCGTCCGTGCATAAAAGATTAAATGGGGTTGGTGAGGTTGAGTTGGAGTTGAAGCGGAGACCGTACGGCCAATTGGCCAATTTGATTTTTTTGATTTTTGGTGCTGTTTGATCCTGATGCTGTTGGCGCTGAGTGAAGTGAAAAACAACAAAAATTTTTTTTTTTTTTGGAAACCGAATTGCCTTGTATAGACGCATGGAGCAAGTTCAAAAGAGAACGATAAAAATTGCCGCAAGTAAACTCGCCTAATATAAATCAGGACTAGGATAACGAATTTTCCTCATGGATATCCATGGTACAATTATAAAAGTTAACAGCAAATCCCAGCTGATTTGATTCCAACGTAATACTAGTGTCAATATGAATTTGACAAATTATGTTTTAAAAAATCACCCAACAGGAAAATTGGGAACGCATACAATTTGAAATTGTTCTTTATTAAATGTGCTCCTGTATTCAATTTACTCAATCTGCCTGCTGGGAAAGTTTGAGGAAGTAAATCTTTATTCAAGGAATAACTCGCTATTCCCAGCATTTTCATATGTGTTACACATATATATGGCAATGGCTCAATTATAGGAAAGAAGTGGAAGCGATAGAAATATAAATTTGATAGATTTTCATTCATGTTTTTCAATTTTTATTTTGAGGATTCGAAAATATTTCATTTTCAAAATAAAAATAATTTGATGATAATTTGTTTATTTGTTTACATTTTTCTGTCAAATGAGTTGACACTAGTAGAACTTACAAAAACAAATTTCCATGTGGTTGTTGTATCGTTTTTTGTACAACAACACTTGCTGTTACCTTCTATTATTATACCATGATGGATATCGAAGAAAATATTAAAATCTAATAGACTCTGCAGTACGGGAACAGACCAACTACCACATTTGACAGTCACATCTTTTATCGATAACTGACTGTCCAACAACCATGAATATTTTCGTGGTTTCTTGATGAATGACGAACATGAGGGGCTACATCAGCAAAAAAACTAAATTTGAGCGAGTGTCATTCAAAAGTGATTGTATGTACAACGCTTAAACCTTTGAAATAAAAATAAAAACATTTTTATAAGATTCAAATTCATTTTTTCGGAAAAAGACGCAGCATAAAATCGCGATAAACAGCATTTTCCAGCATCATCGAAAATCGATTGCACTTGTCGGCTCTTCACTACTACACCAGTCGACCTACGTAGCTCTTCACCGTGCGCTTGAATTTTTTGGAAAAAGACGCCGATTTCATTCTCCTCCATCTTGAACGTAATATACACAGGTTTTTTAGATATTAATTCTGCTGATAATACAAACATTTCACTTTAGTTCAAATAAAATTAGGTAAGTCACTTGGGATTTTGACAAGGTCGCACAGTTATACATGGAAATATCTTCATTTTAGAGTTTATTTAAGAAAATTAACAAAATGGCTGACATCTCGACGGAACAATTGACTACCGAAATACATGCAATATTGAAGAAGGCCGACTTGTCGACTATGTCCGCCAAGAAAGTCAGGGAACAGGTCGAAAAGAAACTGGACTGTTCGTTGGCAAATCGCAAAAAGGAATTCGACAAGATTGTCATGGACTTTATAAATTCACAGCAAGAGGAGGAGGACGAATCCGAAGAAGAGGAGGAGGATGAGAAAGAAGAGAGTGCATCAGAAGAAGAAGCTAGCAGTGAAGAGGAAAAGAAAAAGCCGGCTAAGAAGCGCCCACAACCGACACAGCGTAAAGCACCACCGAAGAAGAAGCGCAAATCGCTGACTGCTTCCGATTCGGGCACCGAGTCGGATGGTGGTGATGATTCCGATTTTGAGGTGACCAAGAAGAGCAAGAAGAAGAATGCAGCTGGTCCCAAAAAGAAGGCCGGTGGTGGTGGTGGCTCTGGGCGCAAATCTACGGGTTTCACACGCGCCTACAATTTATCTCCCGAATTATCCTCACTCATGGGCGCCGAATCCTTGCCACGTCATGAAGTCGTCAAGAAGGTGTGGGCCCTAATCAAGGAACGCAATCTGTACGATCCCAAGAACAAGCAATATGCGATATGTGATGACGAACTATTTAAAGTGATGAAGGTAAAGCGTTTCCGTACTTTCGGAATGTTAAAACATTTAAAGCCACATTTCTTAGAGTAGATATTGTGGCACGGCATAACAATGACTGTAAAATGTACAATTTAACCTTAAAAAGATATGATAGGGTCGTACAGAAGCAAAATATAAAAAAGATGTTGTGTTTGAAAGTCCAGAACAGGCATCGCCCTTTAAAAATCCTTTTTTACCATATAAATATACTTTTACATTTTAATTTTTTTCTGCTTTAAGTTCTCGCAATTTTTATATTTTTTGTCGTCTCTCAAGTGAATAACAAAAAAAAACGTAAAGCATTTCATTATAAGTTTGAAATACCTATGTAAATTTTTTATACATAATTAAATATTGAGAAAGGCATGGTGTCGACATTTCCAATGTAGGATATACATATACGCAAGCGCGTATGCATTTTTTCAATTTTTTTAGTTTCAAATTTGTCGCCACCATCATTAATTAAGAATGTCGTATGAAAACAAAATAAAAAACATCTTTGTAAGAAAAAGTAAAAAATAAAAGATAAATTAAAAAATAAATAATTTAATTTTGTTGTTATTTTGGAGAATTGTTGTTGGTGTGTAGTGCTTGAATTTTGCATTTGTCATATTGCCTTTGTTTATATTATGTTCGAAATGATGATGTATGAATGTTACTCGCGCATACCACAGTGAACTAATCTTCTATTAATAGACTTAATAGACTACAGCGCAACTTGGTATAATTAAATAGCAAACCAATAGTGATTGCTGAATCCAACAGGGTGGCATTAATTTGTTTATGCGCTGGCCAATAACAAACTAAGTGGTATTGTGAGTTGAATTTAATTTGCTATAGAACTAGTTAAAATGTAGAATTGCGTATATTGTAGTAAATAATCGTTGCAAGAGAGAAAGGATGAAGTATTAATGGTATTAATAATGTAAGGAAATAAACATTTTTGAAAGGAAAATATAAAAGTATTGTTCTAAAGATATGTCCGTAGCTTATAAAATAATTTTGAAAGAATTATTGAATTTAAAAATTTGTTAGAGTAACTACGGGTAATGTGGACTATGCGTATATTTAAGAAAACGCTTGAAATATGTCAATGCCACATTGATAAATGTTTTCCTAATTAGTAAAAACAAACATCTAACATGTTTTTTAGTACATAATTGCAATGTTGAAAATAATAATAAAAAGTCGGGTAATGTGGACCACTATGAAAAACGGGACAATTTCATGTGAACAAGTTCCAGACATAGTCCCATATTAAAAACATTTCTATGAGGAGATATTCTATCCTCTGAATACTCGATATGCGAAATTTCAGCTGCTTCTGTTGGATATTGAAGCTATGATGTTCAAAATACCGCAGATGGACCGGTACCCATAAATGGGGGCTATTGCAAAAAATATATGGGTTCATACCCGTATATTTTTGCATTCATTCTTACCCAAGATTGCAATAAATTAAAATTTATCACAACCAATCCACAAGCTACCTTTTAATTTACTGGTCCACATTACCCGCACATACTGGTCATTACCCGCCAAGTTTTATTTATTCGCAGTTTTGAGTTTTTTTAAATATAATGCAATACCTTTTTATAGTCAAATATATATATATATATATAATGTTTGACCTTTAATATATTTAGACGACAAATCTACAATGTCGTGAAAACAATTTGTTTTAATTTTTATCGTTGGTAAGCCCAAAATATCAAAAAAAAAAAAAATGGTGGTCCACATTACCCGAAGTTACACTAATAATGTAAAAATTTAAATGTACCACTTTTTTTTGGCCAGAGTTGTAGACTTGGATTTGTACACAGAGTTTTTTGTATTTTGGTGTTTTAGATACGTTTTTCAACAGAATCATCTGTAATTTGGTATTTTGGACTCAATATGGCTATCAGATCTACCTAAAAAGAAATATCGATATTGGCATAAGTTTCGGCGTATCACCTATATTACGTATTCTTTATTTTCATGGTATTGACCACACGTTTCTACCTAATTGGTTGTAATTTGATATTTTGAGTTTATGTAGGTTAGCAAATTTTCCTACTAAAAATTCCTACCTTTTAAGGAAGCATCCATATAACGCTACACTCCTAAAATCGTTATTTTAGGGATCTTGAGCAGGTGTTTCAACCAATTTGGGAGCAATTTAATACTTTGGATTCCCATCGAGTCCATACCAAAAATTATCAACATTGGCCAATGTTTCAGGGTAGCCCCAATTATTTTAAATTTCAGGGGTTTGGATAACTTGATTTTACAGGTTGTCATGGTATGTCAAATCTTCCTATTCAACATGATCAATATTGGTTCACTTTTTAGAGAGTTTCCCATAATACGCTACATCCCGAAAAATACCGGCCTGATTACACTGTTGTACATTGTCAATATAGATAGCTCCTTATTATATATGCTCAATAAAGATATTGTAAGTTCCTATGCCATTAGCTACTTTTGTAGTGTTATATTGTCTGGACCGGTAGCCAAAGAAAAATTGCTTTAACTTCAATTCTTCAATTATTTAAATCGATGTTTTTGAACCCTACCAAATGATTAAATAAAACGACACCATATAATTATGTTGTATAAACAATAATTGCTGTTGTGGATTTATTTATTTTTTATTGTTAAATTTGTTTCTGGTTGTTTATAATTATTATTATTTTTATTATTATACATAAATTACTTGTAGTAGGTATGCATTGTATATATACTGTTTCATTTCGGTTGTTGTTGTTGTTGTTGTGTAGAGTGTTTGTTTCTGTAATAGTATAACTACTAAATAATTATTCCTGTGTGTGTTTAGTTAGTTTCTGTTCTTCTTAATGTACAATCATGAATCAATCAAACAATTGCTGAATCAATATAAAACAAACATTGAATCGGGCAATAAATACATAAAAATACAATTATTAAGCATTTGTGTTTAAGTACACATTATTTGTTTGTGTGCGAAAGAACAAATTATTGGCTGCTGCTTTACATTCGCATTTATATTTTTTTGATTTTTTCACTTAATATTTTTGTAAATAGTTTTCTTGATTTAAATAAAACTGTAATGGAATAAATTTGTTTAGCATCTTTGTTTAAGTACATATCGGAAAGTAGATGGAAAGGAAAAAAAACACAAAATGTTAGGATATATATTTTTTATAAAAAATTGGCTCATTTTTTTTTTGTTTTTGTTTTGGAAGAACATAAATACATTATTAGCTTCTAAATATATATTTAACGTCAATTAAGTACTTAAGTTTCAATTTAGTACTATTGATTTGCCTAAATGCAAAGCATTATAAAGAAAAAAACTTAAATGTGAAATTAGTACAATATATACGTGTAATATGTGTATATATTCTTTTTAGAATAAAAATAAGTATTTGCATTGGGTACATATGAAAAAAAAATACATTTGTAAAGTCATTATTAAATTCGGAAAATAATAAAACAATATGCATTAATTTGTGAATATATCTGATTACGCAAAAAGCTAAGCCACAAAAGCCGTAAGCCGTGGGGTAAGAATTTAAAAAGTTGACAAATTCTGTTTTCTTAAAACAAGTCGATATTTTAGGTTTCAATTTAATAAGCTCCTAAATCATTATTTTTTCAAATTGATGTATTGACAATATACACGGATTGTTCCAATATTTAGTACCGCTAATCAAGTCTAGGACTATGAATTCGTAGGGAAATCCATGATTGTAGACTATCATTACATGGTGTGTACTGGCTGGAGTAGATGACAAATGGAACCAGTATCTTCAATTCCGTGTATCTGGTGATCTCCCATCGTATAACTGACCACGCTGTTTTGTCAAAATTAAATCACTCGAATCATAATTGTTATCCCTAAATGACAGGTGACTGTTGCCACCTTTGTCTAGATGAGGAGGAAATAAAGATGATCGGAAATATAGTTCCATTGTGTTCCATGATTCGTAGTAGATACATTGACTGTTCGCTAGACATATGATATCATCCACAGATATTCCCCCGACTTTATCCACATTCTCTCTTTTGTATTTAAAATTAAGGCAAATGTCTCCTCAGTATATTAGAGAAAAACAATAAGTTCGGTGCAAGAAAGTCATACGAAATATTGAAAGCATTAAAATCGAATCATTTTACAAAAAAAAAAAAATCAATAACCAATGAATTAGAGTTTCGAACAATATTTTGCATACAGCCAATGTTTTTTAAATCATTGGCTACTCGCATTTGTATATAATTTATAAAATAGCCCTCAACTGTAGATCCACATGCCAGTTGTTCTATTAAACATTTTTTAAAGAGAAATTTTGGACTTTTTTTTAATTTTGTTTTTCTTTAAAGGCAAAAGAAAATTACTTTGTAATTTTATTACAAAATTTATCTTATTTTACATTTAAAAAATATGCATAATAGAACAACAAAAGTACTATTGTCGTACTAACTGTGTCCTTAGCTTTGTCGTAATATATTCACTTATGTACCTTTTATCAAATCTTTTCTTGTTTAAGGGGAATTTTTTTTGTTTTTTTTTTTTTTTTTTTTTTTTTTTGTTAAATTAAATTCCTAAAAATGTTTGTTGATTTTATCATCATCAGCAGGTTGGTTACTCAACTTCATTGTCTTCATGGGTTTCAGTGTAAAAATTTGTCTCTCTTTACATGTTGCTTTTGTTTGTTTGTGTTTTTTAATTTTCGTGTAAAGCTTTTTTCTTCGTCTTCATCTTCTTTTTTGCATACTCTTCTTTTTTGGTATGCCTAACAAGCCATTTGTAATTGTTTGTTTCCGTTAATAGCGATAATAGTTAGGCTTAAATGGTCCCGCCTTATTGAGACCCATATATTTGGCTTGTTCATCGGTGAGCTCCGTTAAATGGGCATCGAACGTTGGCAAATGTAAACTTGCCACATATTCATCCATTTTCTTGGGCAACAAATACACATCCGACTTGTAGCGGCCGGGTGGAGCATTGAATAGCTCAATGAGTGCTAAGGCCTGGGTGGCTGATGTAATTGACACAGCAAATGATGGTATGCTTGAACAGGATAAATTAACCAAACGCCCCTCGGCCAACAAAATAATGTATTTGCCCTCGGGCCAAATAATGTGATCCACCTGAGAGCGTACCTTCTCCCATGTCAAATCAGGTGTACGTAGACTATTTACATCGATTTCCGTATTGGAATGTCCCATATTGCACACAATGCAGCCGTTCTTCATCTTATCCATGTGCTCGCGTACCACCACATTTTTGTTGCCCGTAGCCGTGACCACAATATCGACATTGCGTATAACCTCATTCAATTTGACCACACGGAAACCATCCATACTGGCCTGTAATGCACAAATAGGATCAATTTCGGTTATATAAACAATACAACCCTGGCCCTTCAGGGCTTGGGCACAACCCTTGCCAACATCACCATAACCGCAGACGACAACTTGTTTGCCACCGAACATAACATCGGTGGATCGTTTTAAACTATCCAATATGGATTCTTTACAGCTGTACAAATTATCGAATTTAGTTTTTGTCACCGAATCGTTGACGTTCATGGCGGGCACGGTCAATTTGCCCGCTTTCGACAATTGATATAGGCGATGAACACCGGTTACACTCTCCTCCACAATACCCTTTACCAATTTAAACATGGTGGGGTATTTTTTCAACATTAAATGTGTGGCATCGCCACCATCATCCAATATCATGTTCGGCTGCCAGTTTTCGGCATTAACACAACGATCGATACACCACCAAAAATCTTCTTCGGTTTCTCCGCGCCATGCAAAAATTGGTATGTTCGCTTCGGCCAAAGCGGCAGCAACTTCATTCTGGAAAAAGGAACACACACAAACAAACATTTATTAATATGGATTTTTAATAATTTAAAAAACCATTATGGAGACAATTAAATTTTACTTAATAAAATGGAATGGTATAAAATGCTCACTCATCATATGATGGTATTAAAAAATTACATCATTTCTTGTATCAGATTGGCACGTGATCGTTCATGTAATTAAAATTAATTTACTCCAAACATTGTAATGGCGCTTCTTCTGCTACAGGCAGAAACATTTGCCGCTTAATTGTCGTTTGTCATTAAAAAATAAATCAATAAATGTCAAACGAGTTATATTCTCATCACTGAGAGTGAACTTTTTACAGACCAAATATGTTTGAAATGGTAGTAGTTTTTTATATTTTGCCAAATTTTCAGCTACCAACCACTTATAGAAAGCTCATGCAGGATGTGTCTTAAACCAACATTTATTTGGGCAATCTATTTTTGCAAACAATCGTGTTCCTAATCGAAAAATGCCATGCCATGTTATCATACCAACGATCTCTCAAATTGAGTTAGCTAAACAGGTATTTTCTTTTTTAAATTAAATTTATAAACTCTTTAAGATGGAAGACGATAAGTATAGTTAGATTTTTGCGAAATCTATAACACAGAGGATAAATATATTACATAAAATATTGATACTTTTGCTACAATTTGGCTTTGAGTTTTTTCTATTATTAGACGCATATTCTCTATTAATAGACCCTATAATATATAGTATATAAGGACAAATTTCGAATACCAATTCGTCGGTTTTTTTGCCAATCTTGGAGATAAAAAATTCAATGCGTATCGCAAAATAAAATCTCTAGAGCAGAATATCAGCAGGAGATCTTCTATAGACAAGAAACCAGTAAGAAAAGTTCAAAAGTCGGACGGGGCTGACTATATGATACCCTTCACCACTTTGGGTACATAAAAGAGATGTTAATATCTATAATATCCTGTAGGTAGAATCTTTGGTGGACTATTGAGATGGAATCGGGTGAAATTAAATGTGCTAATATTTGAACCAATTAAAAAAAAATCATTCTGAAATTGATGAAATAATGCATGTCAAATGGGCAGACTTGGATTCTTTGGTGTACCATTTGTATGAAATCGAGTAAAATATATATATATATATATATATAAGACCTATATCAAAATCTGAAACGATTTTAACAAAACTTCCTCAATTGCATTCGCTATGCAAAATTTTGCTCAATCGGACAAATATTGGGAGTTTGCTGTATCATTCACAAAAAATCGGACGAAACTATATATATATATATATATATATAGATATCTAAATCTAAACTGATTTTAACAAATCTTCGCAGACATCAGTCAGGACTAAATTCAGTACTCTGTGCAAAATTTTGTCCCAATCGGACAAATATTGGGAGTTTGGTGTATCATTCACATAAAATCGGACGAAACTATATGTGGGAGCTATATCTAAATTTGAACCGATTTTAACAAAACTTCTCAGACATCAGTGTGGATCTAATTCAGTACTCTGTGCAAAATTTTGTCCCAATCGGGCGAAAATTGGGAGTTTGGTGTATCATTCACATAAAATCGGACGAAACTACATATGGGAGCTATATCTAAATTTGAACCGATTTGAACAAAACTTCGCAGATATTAGTATGGATCTAATTCAGTGCTCTGTGCAGAATTTTGTCCCAATCGGACAAATATTGGGAGTTTGGTGCATCATTCACATGAAATCGGTCGAAACTACATATATGGGGGCTATATCTAAATCTGAACCGATTTTCTCCACTTTCAATAGGCCAAATAAGTTAACTGTGCCAAATTTCATCCAAATCGGATCATAAATGCGACCTGTACTTTGTTAACAAAAACACATGGACAGACGCACATGCGTAAATCGACTCAGAAAGTGATTCTATGCGTATTCTCAAAACGAACCATGGATCTATCTCGATTCCTTTTGCCTTTTACAAACATATGCACAAAGACATAATACCCTGTACAACAGTGTGGTGAAGGTTATAAATATTTCAAAAGTCACATATGAAAAAAAAATACTATCCAGGCTAACGTATTTATACAGAATATTTTCCGAAGGTCATAATAATGGTCTTAGATTGAAAGCATATATTCACCAAAACTCAAAACACAAGATCTTTGAGAAAAAAAAGGTGTTTAAGGGAATGTCCTATAAATAGATTATTAACATTTTGTTTATATACACAAATTCGATTCGAATAAAAAATGTGGCATTTTTTGTAATCAAGATGTTTGAATTTTAATATAAAAATTGAACTGCATATTTTTATATTAAAATTCAAATTTCATCACGTATTGAATTTAAATAAATTAAAAACAAATATTTAAAACTTTTTATACCCTTCACCACTCTGTGGTACAGGGTATTATATCTTTGTGTATATGTCCCGTCCGACTTTTGAGTTTTCCTTACTGTTTTTTTGTTTGTAAATTAACTGCTGTATAAGTTTGATAAGTTCTTGTAATAAATATTATTTTTACCTTAATCGAAATTAATTAGTTTTTAACTAAATTTTAATTATTCCACATTTCGAGGCACTATCTAAATCGTTATCAAAAATTATATTTATGTTCCTTTTTTTGTTTGGTTTAATAAAGGTGTCACTTGCAATGTGGAATAAAAATAAATTTTATTGATCACGCTACTCATAGATTTGTTATTATTATAAAAACAAAAAAACTAATAATAAATAATTGGGCGACAACAAACTGACAGGCAGGCTGGCCAACTGGAAAATCTGTGCCAAGATCAGTGAAATTTGGAAATGAACAAAAAACAGAAACCATTCAATCATATTACTGAATATATATTGTGCTATTATTATTATTTATTAAAATTGATCTGCTTTGCACATCAAATGGTGGTGGATACACACAGACATAGAGTGTGTGTGTCTTATATTGTCACTGTGTACTTTGAAAGTTTCTTACTTTCGAATTTATATTACAATAAATTATGAGAATTATATTGTTGTGTGACCACCCCACCACTTCCCCCAACCCTATGCTGTTTGCGTCTGTCATATATATTTCGAAAAAATAACGCTTTATCTTATCATAATGTTATATAAATTTAGACGATACATGCATTTGGCTTTCCCGACAAAAAAAACTAAATAAACATATTTCATGGTGAAGATCCTATGCAAGCGATATCGTTATAAATAATGGGATTCCTTCTCACACATAATACCAAAATAAATTGATAAATATTTTAGTTGTCATTATTTGCTGTTGCTGGTGGGTATTTCAAAATGTATGACTGTTATATTTATTAAAGAACACACATACGCACGCAAACAAACGCCCTGTCACACCTAAATTGTCTATAAAACTTTTTATAAAAATGTTTTCCTACTGATTAAATTTTTTATTTATTAATAAAAAACCAAAATTTACACTTTTTTCATTCAATGATTGTAAATTAATTAGAGCCCTTATAAATAGTGCGCTTTTCAGTTGAACAATGATGAGTTTGAGTTGAAAAAAAGAACTTCAATTAACACTTCAATTTATTGCTTTATCTCCATTTGTTTTCCGTAATTTTATTGAATTGTTAGCATACATATATTTTTAACAATTGCTCTGTATGTTAATTATTTATCTTAATATTTGACTGATATATTAATGGGTGTTTGTGTGCGGGGGGAAGGTCCATTAATAGCGAAAAGAATAAAACAGCAATAAAGCATAATAAAAAAACTTTAAACAACGCACAGATGTTTAAAAAATACAGGAAGCTTAGTTAAGAAGAAAATTATTGAAAGTCCAATCTTTCTATATGGCGATAATAAAATATAGAAAGAAATGAACTGCCGCATATTTTAGATGTCGCAAAATATTAGACAGTACTGATCACAAAAACTAATGTAATACAATGCTTTCTCAATGGATTTCAATTTCAAGGGAATCCAAAACGGTAAATATTCCAATTAGGACTATAATGCATCTGGCCACAGCGAATAACTCAAAAAATGTTTTCTGTCACTATTGTTCTTATATAAATAAAATTATATAGAAGAATAGAGGTATTCATTCTGATATCGTTGTTAAACCCTTTGTGCCCCGATTTTTTCCGTAATCATAGAATAATTTTCTGTATCCTTGCATTCGGGAGATACAGTACATTCTTTCTTAAAAATAAAAGTCCAATATAAAGAAAACTAAATGCTAAGTCGACGGAAAAATCATTTTAAATTATTCTCTATATTATTTTTTACAAGAATCAAAAATAATTCTGATGACAGAATTCGTACAATTCGAATACGAAGCGATTTAAATATTTTGGATTGTATACACAAATGAGTACTGTACACATTTTTGCCCTCTTCTATATACATGGTACAATTATAAAAGGTAACAGCAAATCCCAGCTGATTTGATTCCAACGTAATACTAGTGTCAATATGAATTTGACAAATTATGTTTTTAAAAATCACCCAACAGGAAAATTGGGAACGCATACAATTTGAAATTGTTCTTTTTTAAATGTGCTCCTGTATTCAATTTACTCAATCTGCCTGCTGGGAAAGTTTGAGGAAGCAAATCATTCTTCAAGGAATAACTCGCTATTCCCAGCATTTTCATATGTGTTACACATATATATGGCAATGGCTCAATTATAGGAAAGATGTGGAAGCAATAGAAATATAAATTTGATAGATTTTCATTCATGTTTTTCAATTTTTATTTTGAGGATTCGAAAAAATTTCATTTTCAAAATAAAAATAATATGATGATAATTTGTTTGTTTGTTTACATTTTTCTGTCAAATGTGTTGACACTAGTAGAACTTACAACAACAAATTTCCATGTGGTTGTTGTATCGTTTTTTGTTCAACAACACTTGCTGTTACCTTCTATTATTATACCATGTTCTATATATTGGAAAGCTCATAACATTACCAAAAGTTGGAATTTTTAAGGTTTTTCTTTTGATACGTGTGGTCCATAATCAGGCCT